GTAGGGAAAAAGCTTAGACCTGAGTATAATCCACCTTGGCCGAAGCCGCACCCAACTGCCACTGGGACGTAGGGCTGTTGGCAGGTAAGACCACATGAGAGCTGGCAGTGGGCCAAGCTCTGTGCAAGCAGAGATATTGGGTTGGCCAAAAAAGTTCATTCGGGTTTTCCCTTAACACCTTACAGAAAAAGACCCAAACCAACTTTTTGGCCAACCCAACACTTCCATTTCATTTCAGTGCCTTACGAGGTTGGTACCATCATCTGATCCCACAGATGAGGGAAATTGAGGCTTTTATTTTAACCACTTGGTACCCACAGCTTGGGAGAGTGGCTGCAGCTCTGCAGGAGGATGCCTTCAGTGTGAAGGACCCCGGGGCTATCTCAGCTCTCCAGAGACCCCTGGAGGGGGGGGCAAGCCCAGAGGCACAGAGGCCTGGGCCTACCTTTAAGAGGAGGGGCCCCTGGATCAAGACTTAGCTCTGCTCTCACCATGTAAATGTATTTTTTTATATCATTCTTAGCAGTACAGTACCTTAAATAACTTCACAGATCTATTTAAGAATGCACAAAGAATTTGGGAAACCAGTGCTTTAAACTCAAGCCTGGCTATTTGAGACCATCACTGGAGGAAGCCAGAGGAAGCTTGGCTGCCACCGCGTGGGGCAAAGGCAAGGAAAATACCAGATGGAAATTTCTGGCTAAACTGTCTTCAAAGAGCCATGGGTCTCCTAGTTCAGTTGGGACCCTACAGCCCATCACACTTACAACCATCCTTCACTCCCCTTTTTCACCATGGAAAAAATGGACTCAAAGTTACAATGTATACAATTTGAGATTTATATAAGCTTAAGTTATTTAAACTGCACAGTGCTGAATGCAGTCTAAAAAAGAATCAAACACACACCACTGCAAGGTAATTCAATGAGCTGCTTTTTTTTTTCTTTTTTTTTTTAAACAAATTTGTACAGAAAAACAAAAAAACAAACAAAAAAAATCCCCGGATCACACCTATACCATACAGTCACCCTGTCAGGTACACAGGATGCAATGGGAGCTGGGACGGGCAGCGGTAGCCAGCACAAGTAACTTCTGCTCACAGACAACATGGGATGTGGAAAAATCGTGGGTTCCCTTTGTTCTCCAGTGTATCTTGTACAAAATAATTACATTTTTTAAACATATTTACAGAGTTTGCACAAATAGAAAATGGTTACAAATTACAACAGGCTTGGCAAGACAACAGTTCCCCCCTCTCCCACTGACCGAGGCTGGAGGTATGATTGCTTTGTATTTACAGATGCATTAAAAAGTCTGCCTTCTTAGAGACCTAGACGGAATTTATAAAAAACGGTTAAATATCATAAATTCATTTGTAAGCTGTACAAGTGACCGATGCCCATCAGTCAGTTCGTGTCTTGCTCCCTGAAGATAGACTCTGAAGGTAAAAGAAACCCTTCCCCACAAGCAAGCAACACCTCCCCTGGCCTGTCTGCTACAGGGGTTTGGGTTTGGGTAGCGGAGGAAATAGGAATAAGGGAGGAACGGAATAGAGGGCGGGGCAGGACAACCTAGTTGAGACAGTTTTCCTTCCACTTTTGTTTTAAATAAACAGCTTGCAACCAGGTTAAGCCGACTGGCTTGTTACTCGCCATCCTATGGCTTTGAAAAGAACCCCCGGTTCTTTCCTTGTCTTAGAGACGGAACATCTCAACATGACTACAGTACAGAAAGAAAGGACTTTCAGGGGAGGACAAATGTTTGTAATTCTGATGTAAAGTCTTTGCCTTGAGTACCAAGCCCAATTTCAACAGTGCAAAAAAGACTCCAGAAGCAGCGTGGGGAGGGGGTCAGAGGCTCGAGTAATAGCTGTCCACCCACTGAGCAAGTCCTCGCTCCACCAGCGACCGGTTTATCAACACCACCTAGGAGAGAAAGGTCTCTGGAAAGCATGGCCACGGCACCAGGGACCACTTCCCAAGCCAGCGTGGGTTCCCCCCTCACAGCAGGCGCCTGAGTCATGGGGTGGAAATTTGATTCATCTTCTGGGCCAACAGGGGATTGATTCACTTACAGGTTCTGTCGGCATGCAAATAGCCTTTCCAATAGGCTGAGGAAATCTAGGCTTTAGTACCAGGAGATAAAGGAGAAAACCCAAATGGACAAGGTCCAGGAAGGCTCACGGACATTCCGTTGTGGGGACTGTCACGTGCACTGTAGGATGTTTAGCAGCATCTCCGGCCTCTACCCACTAAGATGACACTAGCATTACTCCCAACTGTGGCCACCAACAGCGTCTCTGGACGTTAAAAGGGAAAGAAGGACAGAACTCACTTCATCTCCAATCACACTCCAGAGCTGAATCAGAGGAAGGCCGGTTGGACTATACCTCGTCACCTGAAAAAAAAGCAAAAACAAAACCTTCCACACCATGTTTAAAAGCTACCCCATGCACCTCTCCTTAGAGACTGCTGGCCCACCCGGGGTGTGAGGCACAGGAAAGCAGGCACCGAAAAGTCAGTTCCCAAGAAGCCCAGAGAGTTAGGCGAGGCCGGGAGGGACTGCAGATGCCAGGCAGGAGGCTCCTGAGACAGACCCTGTCCAGCCTGCCCCCCCGCATTTTCCCTGTCTCCCCGGAGTCTATTATAAGGCGGGATTAGCCCTTCTCCACGCAGGTCAAACCCAAAGTCACATAACCTGCGGCGCGGGCCCCGCCCCCGCCCCCGCCCCCGCCCCCCGCCAGCCACACACCTGAGCCAGCAGTGCTGCATTGCCTGTCATCTCGCTCATAGCTGCATCCGCCTCAGGTGAGAAGTGGTCATCATCTTTAGAAGGAAGAGCAGCATTTAGACTCTCACTGAGGCGAGGCACTCGTCACTCACACAGTTTGCAGGTGTTTTCCAAGCAGAAGACTTCACACACTCCCGTGGACTTAAGAACTCCATGGGGCGTGGCCACACCTATGCCAGGTTCAGAGCCCCAAGTCTCCCCGGGGCTCCAAGTGGGTACACTCGGGGCGCCCGCTGCATGCCCACCACTGGGGGACGGAGGGTCAAAGGGACAGAAACTCTGCCTTCGGCGGAAATACCACCACCACCGCCGCCACTTATGTGGGGGCCATATGGACGAAGCACGTTGTATGTGTTCTCACACCGAATAAAGAACACGCTTTACAGGTGAGAGCACGGAGACACAGGCCAGTGGCCAAAGGTTAACCAGCTCCCAGAGCAACGTAGGCGGAATTCAGATCCAGGCAGCTGGCCACACAGCCCAATTCAGGCAGCGACTCTAAGTGGGCAGGGCACGCAGACCACATTCTTTGTCAGATTATACAGGTCACGTCCTTGTACAAGGACATACCCAAGGCAAGAGGCAGTGAGGACGGGAGGGGCAGGATTAAGGTCTGCCACGTTCTGGTAGGTGGCTCTGTTGGAAGCCGGAAGCCTCTCAAAGCTGGAGGCCTGGGCAGAGTCTAGAACAGTGGACCTGAAAGGGTGGTCCATGGACCAGCAGTACTGGCATCGCTGGAGAGCTCGTTAGAAATGTGAGTTCTCAGGCTTCCGCCCAGACCTATTCCATCGGAATAGCGGCAGCAATCTGTGTTTGCTTAAGCCCTGTAGGTGAGAACAAGAGTCTCAAAGAGAAAGACCTACCCTCAACACCTGCCTGCACCCCCCCAAGCCAGAGGCCCCACCTGTTACCTGACAGGGGCATCACGCTGTCCAGCAGGACCTCTGCTCCCTGGAACGGCAGGGTCACAAAGTCAGACCTAGAAAGGCAAGAAAGGCACGAGCTGAACACGGACTTCACGGATGACTCACTCTGGGCTGACGTTCACCTTCTGCTTAGCGCTGTGACCCCCACAACCCAGGGTGAAGCCACACAGAGGTACACACGACAGGCAGCAGGCCACAGCGCCCAGCTCACCCTGCCACAGGCCTGGCCTCAGGCGCTGCTTGCACCCCGCTCCCAAAGAGAAGTCGCCTCACTTTTGCCTAATGACACTTGGGGGAATTCTTCTACCAGACGGGCCTTTCTAGCTCCATCTGGCTGAGGCGAGCATGGAGTTTGTTTATATCATACTCTGCTAAAACAGAGTAGGCAGCAGCAGGGAAGAATCAACCCACGTCCCAGGCTCCAGCTCTGCAGAAACCACACCCGACTCACCGGATTTGCCGGAGCACGTCTACTTTCACTCTCTTGTATCCACCATAGTCAACGTAGCGAATCTCGACTTCATCGGTCTCCTCGTAGGAGGCCACCACTTGGGCTCGCCACCAGGCACCGTCCATGCCAGGGGCAGCGCAGATGACCGTTACTGCAGGGCAGGACGGGAGCATGTGCAAAGGCCTGGCGCAGGGCAGGGCGACAGCAAGCATCCCCCAAGGGAAGGACTTGGCCCGCCTCACATCTGTGCCGCCCAAAAAGCTACCCAAAAAGTGTTCATCCACATCTGTTTACTCTGAGACTTACTGAAGCCAGAGGTAGACACAGATTAATTGGAATAAACCAAGTAAATTCCCAAATTCAGGGAATGGACCAGCAAATCTGCCTTATACTCTTTAAGGGAATGTCCCAGAAAAAAATCGAGAGCCTCCAAGTGCAGATCTCAGTGGCTGGTTGCTAGCACCTGCTCTGGCCCACGACAACTCAGATGGAGGGCTCATCAGAAGGCTCCCAGGCCTAAACCCCACTTCTTCTGGCCTTTGCTTCAGGAAGGTACTGAGAGCACTAATGCCCGGGTCAGCCAACCAGGCCAGAGAGCAAGTGCCCCCAAGTGTCACCAACCGCACCCTGGCGTAGCAGGGGTGGGGGCCTGTGACACAGCTGGCCACACTGTGTCCTAACCCTTAAAGGCAGCCCCTGGTGCAGTCACCTCCTGGCCTCCAGTTTGGTCTTTACTTCTGGGCTGAAGTAACATCAGAGAATCTGACAAAAGTGAAATCCTTATTCCTCTAAAAGAAAACCCATAAAAAATGCTACCAAAATTTCAAAGGTTTTCCTCACGCCTTAAAGCGCTCTGGGGACTGCAGGTTAGGAGTCCCTGATGGGGTGGGTTAGAGACACGTTTCAACATTCGATTCCCGCTAACGAGGGCAATAAAGCTAACAGCTCCTGTGCAGGGACCACCTGGGCAAGTCAATGACTTTCTCACCTGTCCACTAGAGATGACCCAATCCACCACAGGACTTTGTTGCACTTGGGGATCTTCTATGGGACCTGCATCTGCATCAGGTACTGTGCATGTTTAACACACATGGTAGCCAACTGCAATTCCTAGATCAAGTGGGCATCAGCCCCACTCAACAGGTTAGTAGCAGAGCTGGATCCAAACCCAGGTGCCAACACTCTACTCTGACCCTTTTCCTCCATCAGCCGATGGAAACGCCATATTGGGCTAGCCAGGAAACTCAGCCCAGCACACTCCATGCCAACAGCAAGAACCCAGGGATGCTGCTCCCATGAAGGGTCCAGAATAGCCTCCTCTCGGTCAGGACCAAGGGCAGAACAACAGGAGACCCCCAAAGCTTCTCCCCAAGCCTGGCCAGAGCCCAGGTTCCCCTCTGACCCTCAGGGCAGCACTTACTTTCCACTGGGGTGGGCAAGGTGGGGATTCCAGGCTGAGAGTAGCAGAGGTACATCTGCTGGTCCAGGCTGCGCAGCGCATGGAAGGTAGGGTGTGTGTGCTGCTGCACAAACAGGTGCCCGGCATTGACCTGGTTGACCACGATCACCTCCACAGTGATGCCATCCGGGAGCATGAGCTGCAGAGGAGAGGGGTGGTGAGCACAGCAGCAACTCTTCTCATGTCTGGGATGAGCACTGAGGCCCCAGGGAAAGTCTCTGAACTGACACATCTTTGAAAAAGGCATGACGACCCAAAGCAACATGGCACCCAGAGCTGACAGAGGTTCAAGGAAAACTATTTTAGCCGTGCAGTGTTTGGCTCCACTGTGGCCCTTGCCCTGCAATACCACAAGTAACCACTAGAGGCGGCCTCAGCTCAGCTGGGCAGAGAGGCTCCCAGGAGCCAGCTGTGGATGCAACATCCCGCCTCCCACTGGCCTGGGCACAACTTCCCTCCCTCGCCTCTTCAAGAGTCTGTAAGACCCAGGGAAGGCAAACAGGAATGAGGTGGCCACTGAGAACAGGAATAAGAGGTAGACCAGCCCTCAGACCCCTCAGCCAGCTCACTGGGACCTGCAGCTGACCCCAGGAGCTCTGGTTTGACAGCATCTCTCTGCTCTGCCTTTCTACCAGCAAGCAGAGGCCTGAGGTCAGGTCCACTGTCAAGGTCTGCACAGTCCGAGTAATTTGTTCTTCTCGACTCTCCACAGACATCCTCCCAACTCATTCCCACTCTGGGATTTGGAATGTAGGTTTGCTCGGTGCGAGGTCCCACGTTAAAGACCCTAGAAGAGGCCAAGACTGGTCTCTCAAAAAACAAAACAAAACAAAAAAAACTGTCCTTAAGGCACTAGCTTCCCTGATACTAGGGCAACATCCAGGTGCGCTGGACACAGTAGGGCATCTACTCCACCTCCCAGCCAGGTGGCCACAAAAAGAGCCTCTGGCTGAGAGTTCTGTGCCTCCCCACCCCGCTCCCGCCCCTGTCCTCTCAGTGCTGCTGGCTGAGAGGCACCTCTCTAGTCCCACCCAGCCACAGAGCACAAGGGGAGGAAGCCTTACCAACCACTCACTTACTTAAAAAAAGAGTGGGTCTGTGGTCGCACCTGGTGGGAAAAACCCTAGGATTCAGAAGTGGAGCATGGAGTGGGGTTCAGCCCACTCCCAAATACCCATGGGAAAGGAAAGGGACATTCTTCCCGCAAAACACAAGGGTCTTTGGAGGGAGGAAGATACCCTCCCCTAAACAAAATCCAGGGAGGCCATTTGCTTGGAGCTGCACATTCACTCCACCTGTGAAATGCAGTGTTCTCAGCCTTCAGAACCCTACAGCTCTACTCCCGGTGAGACGGGGCTCCACAGGGCTGGGGGCACACAGCAGGGAAGGATGACAGGCCCCAGAGCGCCTGCAGCCCCAGCACGCAGGCCCCCGATGCGCCCGCTACCCCTCTGCCAGGGCTTCCGGGGCCGGGGGCAGGGGTTCTTCTCCTTTATGACCCAGGAACCTCCCCGTGAGGCAGGGAGGCGAGGGGGAGCCTTCGCCAGGGCCACCGCTAGACCTGGCTCAACTAGGAGGAAGGAACAACGACACAGTAAGAGCCCATTCGAGCCCAAAACGGTGGGTCCCAACCAGGTCTCAGAGGTGACCCAGGACACAGCACCAGCTTTAAGGAGCCCCGAGCCAGCCTGCACACACCCAGTCTGGACAGACTATAATCCTCTCTAGGCAAATGCCCTGAAAACACGAAGGGTGCCCAGGCGGCAGAGCCAGGGGAGAGTGGTCCTTCCGAGCAGCAGGGACCGAGAGGCCTGTGGCTTCCTACCAGCACTCCGGCCCTCAACCCGATCCAGAGAACACAGGCTAGAAGCAGAACTGACCGGTGGAGGGCAGAGGTGAGAGGGCACGGGCATCAGTGTGCTCCCGGCCTTCCTGGCCCACGGTCTTGGGAGTCTCCTGTTTGGGGTGGGCCGGGGGAAAGGGGCACAAGCAGCCCCGGCCCGCGGAGCGTGCTCACCCAGGAAGTCGCTGGAAGAGAAGGCAGTGCCGGCGAAGGCAGTGGGGGGGCGCAGACGTTGGTGAGGTCCAGCTCCTTGAACTTCCTCCCGATCAAGCTCAGCGCCTTGTCCACGTGACGCCGAGAGCCTGCGTGGGGTGTGGGAGCAGGACGCCGTCACAGGGGTAAGACGAACAGCAAAAGCGAACTCAGGCACACCCCCCACCGCACGGGACGTTTCCTAGAGTTCAGGTACATCTTTAACGTGCCAAAATGCCAGGCCTCGCCTTAGGACGAAAGCCATCTAAAGAAGCTTGCCGCCTGTTGACCTTTCAAACGAGACCTCTATTGTTGCGACTACACTCCCGGTAACAGGAGCCTAGCAGACAGGGAGGCCCAGCCTTCATCGACCATCAGCCCAGGACCCCTGGCCTTCCCCTGAGTGCCCACACCTTTCCTGACCAGAAGACCAGACTCGGGGGGGACCCGAGTCTCTTTCAAGCACCAGAAGTGGAGATGAGGGTAAAGGGAAGCCCCACTCCCTTCACTTAGGGTGAGAAGCAGGGTTTTCCACTCAGAGACTTAAACTCCAAAAGGGGAGCAACCTGGACTCAAATGCTTCAAGTTACTTACATTTCAGGTAAGAAAACAAAACACAGGGCAGCAGCTGCCACTGACCTTCTATGTGGCAGATCTGGATGTTCTGGGTGTATGGAAGGGTTGAGATGTAGATCTTGGCACCAGATGTCTGCTTCAGAAAACTCACATACCGTCCCTGCTTGCCAATCAGCCGACCAACTAGGTGCTTCCAGAGAGAAAGAAAGATGAGAACTTAATGAGAAATCAATTCCCTGCATCCCCAAGACCTGCCTTTGTTTTATACCAGGTCAGGCTCGAACATAATAGCTGTTAACACGTCAGCACTCACTTGCCAGGCACCATTCTAAGCGCTTACATTTACTCAGAGTAAATGTATGAAACAAACAGCATGTGTTTATCCCCATTTTACAGTTGAGGGAACAAACCCAGAGGGGTTAAGTAACTGGCCCAAGCTCACACAGCTACTAAGCAGCTGAACTAGGCGGTATGGTTCCAGGCCTCGGCAGTTTCCATTTCATCCCCGACAGTGGGGCCCATATTCAGAAGCTGCAAAGGCAGAGTATTTTCTCCTCCCAGATCCACACTATGAGATGTCTCACTAGCACAAAGTTTGATTTACAAGTCGTCCACCCCCCAAGTCTGCTCAGGTCCGAAGAGGAGGCTCGATTTGAAAACAAAGGTCTATGAAAGAACCCTTGGGCTCCAAACTTAGCCACAATGTTAAGACGGGCCCTGAAACATTCCCCAACGACCCCACCCCGCGGAGCCGCTAGGGACATGGGCACTCCTTACCCAGAGCTGCCTGGGTGTGCCCTTTGCAACCACTGAAGGAGAAGAGGGCAGGACTGCCATCAGGGTGACCAGGGGAAGAAACAACTGAGGGAGCCAGAACCGCAGGGCAGAGCAGTCCCCGAGACCCCGAGTTCAAACCAATCCAAGTCCCCACCTCGGTGGGAGGCTAAGAGCCTCAGGAGAATGCAGTTGGCCAATTATTTCTGAGCCCCAGAGACAGACATCAAGATCAAGCTAGTAAGATGTAAGTTAGAAAAGAAGCTAGAAACCACTTAAGCACCCTGGAACTGGGGGACTGGCGAAGTCAACTGGCATTCACACATGCATAATGCAGTTAAAATTACATTTTCAAAGAATAACTCAGAAAGCTACATTGTTAAATATTTAAAAGTATTAATTAGAGCAACATAATCTTAGTTTTGTTTAAAAACCACAGGGTGTAAGATGAGAAGGAAATAAAAGTCTTCCCAGTCACTCTCACGGGTGGAATTAGAGCTGATTTTTATTTTCTTCCTACACGGCTATACTTCTCAAGCCCTCTAAGATACAGATTTATGCTGTGCTCAATCGTAAAACACACTTTGCATTGGAGAGCATGAGCAGAGCAGTGAGGGGACTCCCGGCCGGCCCCTGCCCTCAGTCCGGTCTTGCTGGCGTCTCCAAACAGATCTGAGCCCCAGGCCCACAAGAAAAGCCCCAGAGGAGGGGAGCAGGCCTGCGAGTGTGAAGAGGACGCTCCTGAAGGCAGCCGGAGGGATTCCACTCTGCAGGAAGCTCTCTGGACCCGGGCAAAGTGGAGCGCTCCCATCCCTTCAGCCTCTGGCTCCCTGGGGGCTTCTTCCGGTTTACGGCCCCTCCCTCAGACCCCTGCCCCCAGTCCGATGACGCTGCGCCTGGGGGCACCGAGAGCTCACAGCCCTTACCTTAGGCACCTCGATCTCCCAGACGGTGAGGTCGACCTTCTTGGGATGGGAGCCTGCCTGGGCATTTTGGAAACCGTCAGGCTTCCTGAGGCCACAGCAGCTGTCCACCGAATCCATGCTGTTCCCGTCCGAACCTGCAGGGGAGGAAGCAACACGCACAGACACACAGACACCAGCCAGAGCAGTTAATAACATCCAACTTCCAAACTCGCATTCCCGGGAGGCCCCCGCCCCTTGCCCCCTCCCTCAAACTTGGCAGGTGACTGTCAACTCGCAGTCTAGAAGGCTCAGAACAGCCCCCAATGAAAGGAGGCCTGGGGGTGTAGAGACACCTAATTTTAGCCTGTCACTTACAGTCCCACTTGCTTAATTGGCAGCTGCACCGAAGCACAGCTGCTGGAGCAGAGACAAGTGGTGAACTACGAAGAGAGCAACGCTGGCCCAGGAAGGGGGGCCCACGGGGGGGAGGGGGGGCCAGCAGGTCCCACGGTCTCAGCAGCTGGACGTAGGTTCAGGCCCCCATGGAGACCAACCCGTCACAGCTGGTCCGCACCCTTCCAACTATGCAGCCCCTCAGACGAAGGGCCCCTGGTCCCCAAGGCCCCAGGCCTGGGCACACAGGCGGTGGCCTTCAGCCAAGCAGAGCTAGAGAGAGTCCTCCATCGCCCTTATCCCGGACGGGGCCCTACCAGAGAAGGTGACGGAAGGAGGTCCCCCTCCCCTCTGCTTAGGCCTGACTTGTAGCCCCTCTGAGGGCTCTTCTGGGCCCAGGGTGGGTCTTCGACCCCTGCTCAAAACCAGAGCGAAAGTTCGGTCCCGGTCCCGAGAGGAGAGAGCGGGGAGCGGGACTGGCTCCGACAGGGGCTGCTCCACTCCCACGCGGGGTGTGCCAAGGGGCCCACCTCAGAAAAATGGGGGCCAGACCAGCTTCAGAGAAGTGGCTCTGGCTTCAATATGGAAGGCTCAACTGCCAGAAGGAGATCACTCCTCAGAGTCTACTAACTAGGTTATTTTCCATACGGTTTCTCCAAACCCTGGACGGACACAGTCCTCTGCCAAGCAATCCACATGCTACCTGGATGCCGAGAAGGCAGGCGTTGCTGCCAGCTAAGGACGAGTCACAGTGAAGTGACTCCTTCAACCCCAGGGGCTCAGACGGGCTTCACGCAGGGAACACCACCCCTTCGGAGAGAAGCCTGCTTAGCCGACCTGCTAGGACCAGAGGTGGCTGACGGGGGGCTCGGCTCGTACACGGCCCCCAGCCGCTGCCCGACGGAACAGGACAGGCCTGTCACCCCAGTGACACCTAGAGGCGGCTCCAACCACACCAGGAACTCCGGCAAGGCCGGCTCCACTCAGCTGGGTGGTCCCTGGGCCACTCTAAGCTTTGACTTCCTTGCGCCCAAGGCAGGGCTACTGCGGGAGAATGCTGGAAGGCTCGAGCCTGGAGCCGGGCACAGCTAGTGCTCAGTGGGTGGCTCCACCACGCTCCCACCTGCCATGCCCACGCCTCCCCGCTCACCACTCTCTCCCCTGCAGCCTGGACACATCTGAGTAGCTACTACAATCAAACTGGAGTCAGCATGGTGAGGCTGAGGGGCAAGAGGCAAAGGGCAACTCCTTTATTCCTAAAAGATTTTCACCCATTTTAAGATGCTTTAAAATAATTTTAAAGCATTTTAACATCCCTGAAGTTGGGTGCATCTTACGGTCTCTGGCTTCCTACGCTCATGAGCAGCAGCATTTCTTTTTTCTTTTGGAGGTACACACAAAACAGGAGCGTCTTAACAATAGCATCTTCCCGGTGACAACTTGTAGCGTGTGGTACACACCAGATGCTGCTGAAAGCAGTAATATTCCCAAGAGTCCCAACCTTCCTGGAGCCGCAACGGTAGGGAGTGGCTCCAGGACAAGCAAGCTGGATACCCACAGAGGGAATCCATGGCCTCTTTCCGTGAGATCGATGAAAATACCCCAGGGAAGCTGCAAAACCAGGGACAGGAGCTGCTGACCTGTCTACGCTGGGGTCAGCACTCGAAAAACCCAGTGGACACTTCGTTACCAAAGTGCCCATTTCCTGGGGGTGGAACTGCAGCTGCACAGAGAGGAAATGGCTGAGGTTCTCTGCGAAGGAATAGGTGACAGCAACACGCAGGGAGGCATGAGCCTCCCACAACGATTCAAGGCTGTGGCCATTCTCCGGGCACTTACCCCAAAAGGGCTTCTGGAGAAGGAAAGCAGGCGAAGACATGGGAACAAGCACATGATTAAAAGGAAATAAACCATTAAAAAAGCTTACCCATCCTTGGGACTCAAGGGAATTAAAGCTGAGGAGGCCTCTCCTTTTTAGAAAAAAAGCTATCACGAGGTTAGCGTTTACGAGAGAGAGACACACTCAGGATAATGGGTGAGCCCAACTTTGAGCTGGCTCCTTCGGAAGGACTGGGAAGGGTCCCTGGCTGACGAACCAAGTTACAGTCCCTGTGGCTTTGGGGTTCAGGGCAGCTTAACTTCTCAGTTACCCACCAGCTCTATGCTGTACCCCGACTTTCTGCAGGCCGGCTGAGACACAGTACTGGAGAGCGTCATTACTTGCACAAGGAGCAGAGGCAGGCTGGCTGCCTTTCCCAGCCAAATAAAGGGAGACCCCCTGGTCCTCTGAGGGACACCCCAGGCCCTCCTACCTCCCGAATGATCTGCTTCCGCACCCACGGTCCATCCATCCTCAGCCCCCAGGTCCGACAGCTCCCCTTTCAGCACCCCGTTGCTGAAGGGCACAGTACTTTCTGGCAGCAGCGGGGTGGCAGCCTTGTCCCTGGGGCTGGAGGTGGTCTCTGTACAAGAGTCTTCGAGCCCCGAAGTGCTGACAGAATCTGAGCACTGCCCAGAGGAGGCCACGGAGGGGACACCCTGGCCGTTGCTGGACACGCAGGTGACACAAGCGGCATCTTCTTCCAGGATGCTTGCCTCGTCCAGTGACTCTCCAAGGGAGGCAGCTGGTGGAGGGCAGGGGGCCAGGGAGACGTGGTGCGCAGAGTTCTTTGGCTTCCTGTCCTTGGTGGGGCTGGACAGAGGGCTGGTCAGGCAGCTCACATAGGTCTTTGGTGGCGGCAGGTCCTCTGCCAGCAGGTCTGCGGAGGGGAAGGCGGCGCCCACCGGGCCCGCGGCTGCCTCCGCTGCGGCCAGAGCCGGCCCCGCGGCACCCGGGCCCAGGGCAGCTCGCTGGTGGGCTCGGGCGCAGCTCTCCTCCTGCGGCCCTTGCAGCTGAGCAGCCGAGGCCTGATGCATCCGACCCGCGATCCTGCCCATCGTGGTGGCCAGCACCTCCTCAGTGGCCTCCAAGATCACTTTGGAGATGACCTGGAAGGCAGCCTGCTCGACCCTCTCGTTCCCGTCCAAGACCTCTTCCTTGCCCCGCTCCCAGCTGAAGTCTCCGTCCCAGCCTCTGCCCGCCCTGACCCGGGGCGCTGGCGTCTCATCGGGCGTCGCCAGCTCCGAGTGGGCCGACTCCACGAAGCTACTCAGCAACTTCCCCGCGGGGTCCTCGTCCGCCGCCAGCAGGCTGCTCCTCCCCTTCTCTCCCCCTCCTCCCAAGGGAGCCAGGCTGGGGGCTCTGCTGCTCGGCAACTCGGGGCCCTGCTCCCGGGACATGGGACCTTCTTCCGGCACGTTCTCTCCCGGCACCGCGTCACCTGTGCCTTCGGCGCCACCCATCTCCCTGGTCTTCTCCCCGAGGCCCACCTTCTCTGCAGAGGCTGCAGACTGGCCCTGCCGGCGCCACCCTGCCGGCCTGCCCATCACGGCCTCTCGATTACACACCTCAGCTGCTTCGTGGGGGAACGGAACGCCTTTTGGGGACGGCAGGGGACACTCTAGAGGAGCAGACTTGGCTTCGTCACCCGTCAGAGCGAGCTCCACCCTTGCACCGTCCTCTTTGCGTGGTCCTGGTCGAAACCTCGTGTCCACGGTGTTGGAAAGGCCGCCCGAGGACTCTGATCGCCGGTAGGCCGGGTGTGCCCGCAGCAGGGCCGGGGGCTCCACAGGGGGCTTGCTGGCGGTGGGGAGCTCCCTCTCAGGCGGCTGGGTGGCACTGGGGGGCGGGGCCGCTGCTCCAGGACAGGGGTCCTCCACGGGGAGCGCTTCCTCCGTGGCAGGGCCAGCCCTCAGCTTCACAGCGCTGGCCCCCATCTGTTTGTTGTGGCTGCTGATGTGCTCTTTTTTACGAGAGAAAAACCACCAGCAGCCGAGGAGCGCCAGCACTCCAGGCAGTGCCAAGGGGAAAAGTGAGCGGAATTGGATCGCCATCCTGGAGGCCTGAAGTAATTATACCTGCAAGAACAGGAGAGAGCCAGGTAAGAGGATCCTGATATGACTGCACAGCAAAGACAAACAGGTTACGGCAGAGCCTTTGCTCCCCCACTTTCCCTGACCCTGGAAGGAGCATCCCTCCCTCTAGGCACACCCAAGACTCTGGGTGACCCTTGGAGGTGGGTGGGCAGGAAGACACACCTCCCCCCACTTCTGTTCCCTCATCCATGCACACTCCCTCGAAACAAGCTGAGCCTTCTCTTGAAACCAAATCCCTTCCTGCATCACTTCTTGATGCCAAATTCTCCCTATGTTCCCCCAAGGGACTAGTTATGTTTAGTGCTTTAGTTCTCTAAACTCCCAGAACACTTATCTATCCAGGTGGTATTGGAGCATTTTGAAATACCAATGGAATCCACATGTACATGTCCCTCGCGTGCACCCCCAAAATCATGAGTCAATGAAATAGTAGTTATGCAGCAGAACAGAGGATGAGTAAGTCAGAACAGAGGATGAGTAAGATTTTTAAAAGGATAGGGGAGGACTTCCCTGGTGGCGCAGTGGTTAAGAATCCGCCTGCCAATGCAGGGGACAAAGGTTCGATCCCTGGTCTGGGAAGATCCCACATGCCGTGGAGCAACTAAGCCCGTGCGCCACAACTACTGAGCCCACATGCTGCAGCTACTGAAGCCGGCGCACCTAGAGCCTGTGCTCCGCAACAAGGGAAGCCACTGCAATGAGAAGCCCGCGCACCACAACAAAGAGTAGCCCCCGCTCGCCGCAACTAGAGAAAGCCCGCACGCAGCAACGAAGACACAACACAGCCCCCCCCAGAAAAAGGACAGGGGATACTCCAAGGTGAGGGACCAGTAAAACACACAGTGGTGTGGAGATAGGGTCATGTTTGAGAGTCAAGTCGTTTAGTGGGCTTGATGAGGGTCCTGCACCCGCTGCAGAGTTTGGACTCTTTCCTGTAGACAACAGAGAACCAGCTTTGGTCTGCAAGGCACACACACCAAACTGTGTCTCTAGCTTATACTGGGAGCAGGACAAAGTATCAAGCGAAAGAAAGCTGAAGACCTAGAGTCCGTTAGATCCAGGTAAGCAGAAATAAGAGCCTAGAGGAAGGCGGTAGACACGTAAAGGAGACAGGGAACTGTTTTCTTCACCTGTAAAATGGGGACACACCTTGTAAAGGATGGCTGGTATAAGATCACTTGAGATACGTGTTAATCCTTGTAAAGCAGGGTTAGCTCTCATTAGAGGTATGTGACAAACTTATTCTAGAATACACACTTGTATCCTCTGCCTCCCATACAGCAAATTTTATTCTGTCTGCAAAAACTCTAAGTCTTCTTAAAACCAAAAATCCTCCACTGATATGGTGAATTACTCCTTAATTTGGTTTGTGCTTTGTTGCAGAGATGAATGTAAATGCTTTAACAACTCTTATTTACTTATATCAATGTTTAATTTACTTATATCAATGTTCTCGGGAAAAACCAGAGCACAGAGTTCCCCAGGTGGTTCTAATGTTCAGCCGAGGCAAGAAAAGTTCAACCACTGCACACACACACACACACACACACACACACACACACACACAAAAGTCCTGGAGACTTTGCTTCTCAAAGTGCAGTTTATGGACCAGAAGCACTGAGCATCACCTGAGAAACTGCTATAAATACAGTATCTCAGCTCTACCCCAGACCATTTAACAAGACCAGCAAAGGACTCACAAGCAACATGACAGCTTGTGAAGGAATCTAGGAAAAGTGTTCTGCTCCAAAGTGAGGGGGTCGGGGAGGGGTGGGAGGGGTCATCTCCAGAAACTCCTTCATCTGTAAAGATAAAAACCTTCTTGCTAATATCTGAAGATGAAGCAATGGGATTGGAAAATACAAAGCAGAGTTAAACAATGGCCAGGCCTCAGAAGACTACATTAATCCCTTCAGGCACAAAACTTCAATGATGCTACCTTAGAGCTTCAGGTTCAAACACGGAACCTCACTAGATGCTTTCCCTTGCATTGCTTAATCCTCAACCAGCGGGTTTGGAATATGGATTACCATCCTAAAGGTTAAAATAACTCCAGTTCACACAGCCAAGAGGCTGAACTCAGCTTCTACTCCACATTAAATCTAGAACCCACTTGAATGAGTCTGTGCAGACGAGGCACTGTACAGGCCAAGGAAAGGAGAAGTCTGTACCCTCTTAAAACTTGATGGCCCTATTTTTTGACCCACCTCCTCAAGTAATGGAAATAAGAACAAAAATAAACAAATGGGACCTAATGAAACTTAAAAGCTTTTGCACAGCAAAGGAAACCATAAACAAGACGAAAAGACAACCCTCAGAATGGGAGAAAATATTTGCAAATGAATCAATGGATAAAGGATTAATCTCCAAAATATACAAACAGCTCATGCAGCTCAATATCAAAACAACAAATAACTCAATCAAAAAATGGGCAGAAGACCTAAACAGACGTTTCTCCAAAGAAGACATACAGATGGCCAAGAGGCACATGAAAAGATGCTCAACATCACTAATCATTAGAGAAATACAAATCAAAACTACAATGAGGTATCACCTCACACCGGTCAAAATGGCCATCACCAAAAATTCTACAAACAATAAATGCTGGAGAGGGTGTGGAGAAAAGGAAACCCTCTTGCACTGTTGGTGGGAATGTAAATTGATACAGCCACTATGGAGAACAGTAGAATAGAAAAACAGAATTACCATATGACCCAGCAATCCCACAACTGGGCATATACCCTGAGAAAACCATAATTCAAAAAGACACATGCACCCCAATGTTCACTGCAGCACTAATTACAGGTCATGGAAGCAACCTAAATGCCCATCGACAGATGAATGGATAAAGAAGATGTGGTACATATATATGCAATGGAATACTACTCAACCATAAAAAGGAATGAAATTGGGTCATTTGTAGAGACGTGGGTGGACCTAAAGACTGTCATACAGAGTGAAGTAAGTCAGAAAGAGAAAAACAAATATCGTGTATTAATGCATATATGTGGAATCTAGAAAAATGGTACAGATGAACCTGTTTGCAAGGCAGAAATTGAGACACAGATGCAGGGAACCAATGTATGGACACCAAGTGGGGAAAGGAGTGGGGTGGCATGAATTGGGAGATTGGGACTGACATATATACACTATTATGTATAAAATAGATAACTAATGAGAACCTGCTATATATAGCACAGGGAACTTAACTCCTCTTTGCTGTACAGCAGAAACTAAGACAACACTCTAAAACAACTATACCCCAATTAAAAAAAAAAAAAAAACCTTGATGACCCTACCCTATGACCCAACAATCCCACACCTGGAATCTTTCCTTAAAAAAAAACCACAGGCAGAGGTCTATATGAGTGCTCACTAGGGTACCATTTGAAACAAGACTCAAAGCAATGGCTGCTAAATCTACTGTAGACTCCATGGTCATACCAGTTTTGGAAAATGAAGCTGATTCTCATGTACTGACATGGAAAACTTGCCATGATACAGAAAATCAAAGCTGTAGACCACTGTGGGTATGTGATGTCTATGTCCACATAATCCCATGGAAAAACTGGGAAGGATCCATGCCAAGCCTTTCAGCTGTGGAAGAAGGGAACGTCTGTACATTGATCTTGTATCCTACAAACCTTCCCAAACTTGTTTTTTTCCTTATTTGCAAATAGAGATAGTCTTCCCTTTTTCCTTTTGGAAAGAGAGATTTTTAAATTTCTTTAACAGAGATTCTCCAACTTGGCTGCCCATCAGCATCACTTGGGAAGCTTTTAAAATCTCACAGTGGTACCCAGATCAATTACATCAGAATCTGAGGGTGAGACCTGGGCATCGGGGTTTTTTTTTTCCCCAACCCGGGTGATTCCAATGTGCAGTCAAGTTGGGGAAATCACTGTTCTGTAACAACCTGCACACCCCCACAAAAAGGTGGTGGTAGATTATGGAGATTTGCTTTCTGTTCAATGTCCTTCACATAAAAATAAATAAATAAATAAAATGAAATTTGAGAAGGAAAAGAGGTTATGGGGGACGGGCACACTCAGGATAAGGCCCGTTATCAGGAAATCAAGTCCCACCCAACAGACCGCATGCAACAGGAAGTGGGGCTGGGGTCTGAACACAGGTTTTCTTCTCGTCAGTAAAGTTATATTCTAATTCCTTATTATTCTAATCCCATTTCAGCAGGGCTTATAGCTGTGATTCCCACAGTATTCTAGCAATTCTCTGCTCTCAGGTAAAAGATTAAATGGAATGCGATGGAGAGGAAGAAAAAGAATCCTATGTCTTAACTACCCATAGGGGGCAGTCTCCTCACTTTACACACCAAGGACCCAAGGCCACAGACTTACATTGGGGGTGTGTGTGTGTGTGTGTGTGTGTGTGTGTGTGTGTGTAAGGGGGGAGTTGCTACCAAGACATAAACTGCTTCTCAAAATAGCTGGAAGAAGCCCTTTGGAACTAAAAGCCGATCACAGGGGTCTGCTCTCCAGCAGGTGTCCCCATCCCATCCCCAAGATCTCAGAAGTTGGCTACACTACAATAAGGCAGAGGCCCAACACAAACCACCAGTCTAGCTTTGGTTCTGCACTCCAGGAGATCCACACCGCGACCCAGACCACAGCCCACCACGTCCCTGGCCTCCCCTGCCACCTCATCTGTTCCGTTCCCAGCCCTAGTTCAGACTGAACGCACAGAACCAGCCACGTGGGGCCATGACACGTGCTCCCTGCCTGCAGCTCTGTAGCCCAGGGACACCGCTGCCACTTGCCCACCTAACCCTGCCAGCCGAGCTCGGTCCCCAAGAGACTGAGGCTCAAGCCCCCAGATCCACCATCTATAGCCCCCCCACCGCCCCCCAACAGGCTACTCAGCTAATGACAGCTCAGGAGACACTTTCTGCATTTCCAAGCCAGACAAATACCCCGTTGTTGTGCCGGAAGGGCCTCAGAGAA